TTTCTTAAACACACCCTCACCTGTATCCGTTCCCGCATCCACACCAACTCCCTCATCCGCACCCATCAACCACGTCCTCACTCGCATCCTCATCCCTCCCCGTCTCCACAAAAAAGAAGCACCAACCACGCACAAAGACACCAACAAAGTAACAATCTACCGCCGCATACACACACTCCCTCCCAACGACCCCCCCCCCCCCCCCCCCCACCCCCACCCCACACACACACACACATACAACATGAAACAAGCACCCATCACAACCTCTCGGGCCAGCCACCCATCACAACCCCCACACATCAACCCTACAACACAGCAAAACATGATAGATGATAAGAATTATCACACGCACACAACTACCCAGTTTATTGTTTTATATATTTTCTTCTCCGATACATTGAGAAGATTAATGCAGCAAGTGGTTTAACCAGTTCGTCGCACTGCATTAAGAATACGGTTTGGTCTGCCGGAGACATCGTAATAAACGAGGGGTTAATAAGGGATACTTTCTGCCAAAGATTAAGTCTTAGCTCTCTATAACAGTCACACGTTACCAAAAAGTGAACTTCATCTTCAACAGTTTGGCCGTTACATAGTTTACAGACGCGTTCAGAAACAGGGGTTTTCGGGCGTGTATAACGACCTCTTTCTAATTCTAAGGGTAAAGTTCCACAGCGAAGTTTAGCTAAAGTGCTTCGTCGTGATCTATCCAGAATATGGCGTACATAAAATGAAACATTCAGTGTATTTTTAAACAATCTAAACGTTCTAAGCTTATTGCCTGTAGTATGGCCAGTGTCATTCCAAACTCCACGCAACCAGTTTTCTCTGTCAAGTTCTATCAGTTTTGATTTCAAAATTTGGAAATCTATATTACCAATATTATAGAGATCCAAAAATGGTAGATCAAAAGAACCAAACATTCTTACAACTCTGCTGTCCCAGGACTTTCGGTATGACAGAGACCAATTTCTGATACGAGCTATAATTCTCTGCGGGGGAGCTGAATTCAACTTCTTCCAGAAACGCACAACTTCGATTTTATGTTTAGTAATAATCGATGACCAACCCATCTCCCCTCTTACGGCCAAATTAGAAGTAGTTTTTCCTACACCCAAGAAAAAGCGGCACGCTCTATTTTGGATGGCATTTATGCAACTAAATTCTCTGGTTCCCCAAATTGCTGCACCATACGTTAAGATAGGTTGTACAAGATTGTCATACAAAGTACTGAAAACATCATAGGTCATTCCTCCAACTAATTTAAATTTACTAATAATTACACTGAGGGCTCTTCCGGCAGATTTAGCAATTTGTTTAGCTGTGAAATTTAAATCTAGGTGTTCCTGGAGCCAAAGTCCCAAATATTTATATGCATTACAAATTTCAATATTCTCTCCTCCACAGTGAAAACTGACACTGGAACGCGTAACAGACTGCTGTCTATAATGGACAATTTTAGTTTTTTTGGTATTAATTTGAAGACGCCATCGTCTGCACCAATTATCAACGCTATTACTCGAGTTAGGTAAAAAGACACAAAGAGCCTTTGACGCTTATTGTTATACAGCGTGCTTTATAGCCCACTTACAAGGCGATGGTGTCATTTGTTTACAACGCGCCCATAATGGTAGGCTGTGGGAGATCTGGATTTAGTGACGTTACTCATTGTATGGTGACAGTTGAATCCAGCTCTATTGCGTCTACGTTCACAAGCCGCTTATATCATTTAGCCTTAGAGCTTTAATAATACATTTTAAAAGTTGAAAAATGCAACGTACAGAGATTTACAGCTAAATTTAGATGTGGTACCCTCCCTCTGGAAATTGAACTCGGTCGTTTCTTGAAACCAAAAATTCCCTTACATAATCGTATTTGTAAACACTGTAATACAAACAGTTATGTTTGGGGTTATGCCTCGTCTCTTTGCCCAAAATTTTGTCTCATGACCCCTATAGATCAAACCACATTCCTTATGAAGTGCGATAATTTATCCTATTCTGTAGCTGCACTAATTAAATCCATGTACAAACGTAGGTTATATAACAACGATTCATAAACCCATTCCAGTATTGTATGCCTCTGTATATTTTATATTTGAGAAAACATGTAATTGTATGGCAATGCTTGTCATAAATGTACGAGCATTATACTTTTATCTCGTATTTTGTGCACCATTAACAAATAAACCACTGTCCACTATAACTATTTTAGCACTTGCGGTGCTTTTAAGAACATTAGTGTCTAATAGGCCCACGCTGGCCGGGCGATGTATATCTTTTAATATATTTTACCTCTTGTATAAATTGAAGTAATTTTATGTATACACCGCTGGACACTTAAATAAACTATTTTTCTTCTTCTTCTCTTTCTCTTTAAATTTGAAGATGATGAGCGGTATAATAAATGTATTAAAATACAATATGCGTATAACACTTGACAGCCTTCACAGAAAGATACGTGGAAAATAAAGATTTATTGAAATGTTATAAAAACGTACGAACGTAAATTTCAGTCTTTACTTTTCACCTCATCAATGTATGGTACCAAGAAGGAAATAAACGATAAATAGTCGAAAGAAACAATATATTAGCCTTTGTATGTGCATCCTCCTTGGTAATCTGCTCCTCTCGGTTGATTTTATTATGTTTCATTTTCATTTAAGAATAGCTTTTTGACCGTCAAAGAATACTTCTACATTGCTTCAAAACAAACAACTTATAACAATCAAGTTAAACAACCGTTCTTTTAATTTACATAAACGTATCCGGGGTAAATGTTTGCTTCTCCGTTTGTTACCCTGAAACAATGTATTCAACCGATAACGGTTTCGTACAATATTTTAACTGAGAGCGAGATATCCCTATGTTCTGAAACTTTGATCTATCATGAAGTGATATCCACTCATGATCACTTCACAGGGCGTTTTCACACATATCAAGCATCCTGTGTCAAATAATTTCCGCCAGCATCCAGCAGGTCTAATCATCAATAACCAACGTATCCGTCTTAGATTGTTGTTTAATTGCACATGCCATCTTGACAGGCATCAATACACCGACGTAATCCACTCATGTAGATTGCTTGTGGTGTCAATTAATTTCTGACTGATCACGGGGAGCGCAAGGGTCATTAATCACAATTTTCCTTGGCATGCAGATTACGTCATGAAGTTTACGCCTTTATGTATTGTTCGGACTAATTTTTTCAAAAAAGTAAATACAAACTTATTTTTCAGAAATTGTCTGGAATGATTTACATGCCACACAGCTCCAAAACATAATGTGAGGTTTCTAAAACAAAAGATACTGGAGCAATGTAAATCGAAAATATATTTGACGTGTTGAAAGTATACCGGTACGATAAGACATGTAAAGATAGTGTATCGGGGTAAAATGAAACTTTTGAGACTTACAGTTAACAATGTCCACATCTTTTTATCATTCATAGTTTAGTATTTCTCCCAATAATGGGCTTTCTTCGACGTGCTCTAGAATATTAAATGCGGTAACAGATTAATTACAAAACTTCAATACATCTTATCATCAGAGGACACGTATAACATTTCCACAAATAGCGAAATCATTCACAATTCCAAATAGTTCAGGACGTTGTAGTGCTACCACCTGCAGAATCAATCATTGGCTTGTCTGGTCAAGACTCGATCATTTTTCAGACCGCTGTCATATAGCTGGAATATTGCTGAGTGCGGCGTTTAAAAACAAACAAACAAAACTACCCTGCAGCGCATATGAACACATTTTTCAAGCCTATATCACAGTATTTGATATAATGTGGCGTGTTTGATTTTGTAGATTTAAAATGACGAATGACTTGTTGGTTCTTTCACTAAATGTAGGAAGAATTTCATAAACATACCGTGCTCGACATAATAGGTCGAATCTGGTAATAAAGAAGGTTTTAGGTAATTCCAAACATACTCTATGTTAAAGAATCGCTTCTCTGATAGAAGTTTGGGGACAGTGTCGTTCATAACAAAATCAAGGTGCATTAACTGTAATTCTCAATATTCTCCAAATATTTGAAACATATTCCACAATTCTCAATCTTTTCCACGTGATAGTAATTGTAATGTGTTCTGTTGACTTATATAAAGAATTGACTAGGTATTGTGACTTAATGTGTTGGGTCCAAACCACTATCAGAGAAGTCCAGATGAAGTCCAGGGATTTCTCTGAAACACACGCACAATCTTTCATATGAAAATTATATGTAAAAATAATTTGACAAATATTTATAAGGGACGTATCTTCAGTAAGTTTCATAGCTGAAGAAGTGAGTGAGTGATATGCGTTTCTGTGCAAGCAATATTCCAGCAATATCACGGCTTTACACGCAGTACGTGTGCATGTATGGGGTGAATCGAACCCGGGCCTTCTGGGTTACTAGCCAACGCTTTAAACATCAGGCTACGCCCCCATAGACAGAGACACCGCCAACAGAAAACAAATGAAAAATCAAATGCCATCCTTACACAGGGAAGACGCGATAACCCAAATTAAAAAATAATACTTTTGTAGTCTCACCAGAACTTAATACCCATGGGTGAAGCATTAAATCAACAAAGCCAGCTATTTACTACGATTACACAGCGGTGAATTGAAAGCGTTTCAACGTGTGAATAATTACAACCTCCTCGTATAAATTGCCAGACAAAAACAACATCAAAGCTGATTTGTAATCCGCGAGTATTTCACAGGTATTGTCAAACAAACACCCCGGGGTATACAAGTATTCAACCTCGGGGGATTGGAAGGGGACGGGGTGGGGGTGCGTGAGGCAATACATCGTGTCATTTATGTTAATCATCAGTCACACAATGGGCACCGCTGTGGGTAATTCTAACCGGCGCGCCATGGTTGATTAAATCCTCCATTGATTGGATGAGTACAGTCGGTCCCAAGTGATTTGATTGGACGCTGCCACAGTGAGTCTTAGTGACCTGAGTGACACGAGGGGTATAAAGTGACGTGATGTAATCGGTTGTGCCATCATTCATACCCAGTATCACGATTACCATGATGGACGTACCTCCCCACCTGCTTCAACCTCTGTGTATCGACACCAACATCACCTACGAACTGGATATGTCCAAGTTCCCAGGTCTGGATGACCCACAACATATGTACCAGCCTGCTCTGTTGATAGCCACTGACTGGAGCGACTACCATGAAGCACAACTTGTCACACATGACGCCGATGTTCCCGAGGATGACTTATACTCTCTCATAGGTATGTGTCTATCAAATCTATTAAATTGCATGAATCAGAAACATTTAAGTGTATCTTATACAATCCTTCAGCCAGTATTATTATGCAAAGGTTATGCAAATATTTCAGCTAAATCTAAATCTAGATATATCTAATCTAAATCATTACCAGATATTGCAAAACATATTGTTGTATATTATATATACTTATATCTGCATTGTTATTTTTCAGAATCCAGTCAGGTCCTGTTCCCGGAATTTACAGATTCAAGCAGTGATGAAAATGCCAATTTCGAAGCTCTCTTGGATGAAGTGATCTCCTCAACGGCATCTTGCGGCAACCTTTGGGATGAATCAGATTTCACTTTGTCGGATTTAAAATCCTCAACAGACTGTTGTTACCAATCAGAGTTATCGCCCCTAGGCGGAAGGGGCCAGAAGCGACGTCATTCCAGTGATACTGACCATTTGTATACCAGCAAGAAATACAGAATGACAGAAGTTGACACGCATACAGCAATGCTCCCATCGCTTGTTTCTGTGTACCCAACTTCCAATAATTGCATCTTTGGAAGAGATTCATAGACATTATTGAAACCAAAAAGAGACTTATTACTTGACCTTGTCAAACACGAGATGTGCTATGTTATGTCAAATCAGAGTTATTATTGAGCAATTTGGTGCCAAGAAATTATTTTCATGCAAATATAACCGTATTACTGATATTTAGTACATAGTGCCAAATCCTGTTACACATTTTTACAAATGGTTTTGCTTGTTATATTTGTTGTATTAAAAATGTATATATTCCCCTTTACGCTACTTTCTATTTATGTCCAATCTGTATTACAAAGGAGTCGACTCTGGTAAAAAGGAGTCCAGCAGCGCAAGATTACCATAATCCGTTTGGTTTAGAACGAATGTGTTGTTAAATGGACTCAGTGGTAGACTAGCCTGGAGGTCTGTTCTTTATCAAAGCGGTTGACATCACAGTGGGAAATCGACACCCATTCAGCATGAATGCCAACTGCGAACACAGGGAACGGCCGATCAACCTACCACCTGGGACGACGTCAGATTGGTACCCATTAACGGGATATCTTGCCGCACATATAAGAATGACCCCCCCCCCCCCCCCAAGTCACTTCACTTACACGTGGCCTCAGTTTGATGCCTTTGTAAAGGCATTGTTATGGCAAGTTGTATTACAAGGGTTATGATGTTCTTGTTTTACATCAGATGGTAAATCATAGTGGGCCAAATTTGGGAACCGACCACTGGTAGTTTCTTATAGATCGTAAGCTTACATCTTATCAAACACCCAATTCCATTCTCGTCCCTACTCTCTAGTCCTGAAAACAGTACATCAACTTGATGTAAATGTCTGCCAGGAGAACGGAAGGCCGATGGTTTCGTTTCCCTGACCGCGTCATACGAAAGATGGTACTTGTTGTTGCCCTGACTGCTTCTCGACAAGGGGTAGAAAGCAACCTCATCACATGTACAGCTCTGAAATAAGAGACTTGAGAGAGAGAGATGGTGTTTTTACGTGCGCTTTCCGACTTAATGCGTATTTCGCACACGGGCCCGCCAGGCCATTTAGTGGTTTTACCGAGTAGGGTATGTCCGAAAAGGGAGGGCATCCTGGGGGACTTTGCGGTTGGTTGCTTATCTAATTTTGGGGAAATATGAAACTTTGAAGAATGCCGTGCTATAGGTGAGAGACTAAGGGAGTTTGTGTTGTAGTGTTTATTTTTTTTAAAAAATAGGGTTTAAGCATGGTGATAGCCTGTTATAATTAGGAAAATGCCTTTTGCTGGTCGTTTAGTGGGTTTAGGAGTGTTGCTAGAGATATTTGGTTGTTACAGTTTATTGTGGATTTGGGGGTTATTCTGCGTTGTTGGTGGTGTGTGCAGTGTAAAAGTGCGTGTTAAGGTGTTTCTCTTAGGTTACAGCGAGAGCATCACCTGTGTTGTGTTTTGAACCGATGAAACTTGAACCAGGAATTCCTTGCATAGGGTTCCCGACTTGGCTCGAGGTATCTTTATATGACATGCAACAATAAAGGTATGCATAAGCTCAGTGCATATCGAATGTGCATTCGTTATCGCATGACAGGTTACTCAAACAATAGTGTATGATGAATCAGAAATCTTATTCATGAAACGATCGTAAGATCTATTATTATTATCCCCCAAACCGCCTACTATTTGGGTTCGGCGGTTACATAAAAGGTATCCCACCAATCAATTTTATACTTACATGCAAACATTGTTCTCGGACATCAAAGACGACCCGCGAGTTACATGGCAATTTGCTGCAATTCATTGTTGATCTCCCTAATCAACCATCGATTAGCACCGCGGTTGCTGATATGTCGTCTTTCTTCCTGTCGACATTGTTTATAGTTTTACGTTTGATATGTTCTTCATTGAATCAGAAACCAAGAAATATTACTTAATGACATGGTGTCTGCTTTAGCGGCACATGTACCCAACATCAAAGTAAGTCTCAAAACTTGTCCGTCACAATTGTAGGCTGTATACCTAGGCTGTATACATTTATACAAGTAACTTATAGCCAGCGATACCATCTTATTCATTTGTTTGATCACGATACATTTGAACGTGAAGCAATGCAGAACGTTGCCTATATCGCTGACGCATACTGTCTGTGATGGAGCGTATTATGTGTAGCAGGACGTGGAGTCATCCCACAGATGACATTCTCACCTTGTCAGCTTGATGACGGGGTTAACCTCTTTGGTTAACTTTGGACTTCTGATCAGAAGGTCCGTGGTTCGAATCCCATTATGGGACTCGGAAATTTTATGGACGCTACATGTGTAAATCTTTCTCACAGTTTATGAACAGTGAGATGAGCATGTACTAATAAATGTGTTTATATCGAAAAAATATTTTGGATCAAAGTCTTAATTTAAATAAAATGTATCCAGATTTTGAACAAATATCTGGTCTCACTACAAATCCCAGCGCCTCACACACACCACACCCTGTATGAATATTTAATTGTCGATTATGTAGAATAACGCACATGCAATGCCGCATAAAAGCTTACCACCGTGTTTCACGGTATCGTTTGAACGTTCCACAGTCCCGAATATTCACGTTTTACAGTCCCGTATATTCATCAGTTACGTATCTTGTGCCATTCACAGTTCGGTATTTTCAACGTTTCACAGTCCCGTATTTTCAGGTTGTTTCGAAACTGTAAAATTCTATGGTAAATAATACAACACATACTTAATGTGCATGAATGTATTTGCCTCATGACAAACGTACAAATAATAAATCCAATCTTTAAGTACAACGCTAATATGCTCACAAAGTAAAATCTAACAACGCACATTCGAATCTAATTCAAGAGTTGACTAAGATAGAAATAGAAAACAGGAACGCATATCACTAGACTAACAATAAGTTAGTCCAACATTTAGTCTCTGAAATCTTATATTACACAATCTCCTTCTTGACTACAAATAACTATGTGAAAGCTTATATCCATGAAATGAAATGTATTTTTACCAACATGGTTATTCTTTTACCAACAGTGCTATGCGGATATTCGCATTTGAGTAAGAAAGAGCACATTCAAACATTAGATTCTCTTTAAAACTTCATATTAAAAACTGGCAGATTTTCAATTAAGTAAATGAATTGTTTAATATAAACTTCAAATATTTTTAATATGTATACACATCTAGCTTGACATGTAGAATTTATGTGTTACATCTAACCTTCATTAATGTATTTTTTTGTATCAATGGAGCGGTATTAACCAGAGACCATATAATAGGTCTATTATATGGTCTCTGTATTAACATAGCGCTTCGCTTATTTACCAATCCATTTTCACATTTTGGAGGGAAAATAGATATGTTTAAATCATATAAGCTTTCCAGAACTCTCGGTATTTACACCAGTTATTAATCATGGGAATAGCTGGAATATTAACGTTTAATTATTTGAATGTTTTCTTTCTAAATCAAAATAGTTTGTAACACTGTAATTAATTACACTGTCTATAGTTGATGGTAAATAGCTTCAGCAACCATTAAGGTTTTTGTTGAGGACAAATGCTTAATATCTCCTTGATCTTGATAAAACATGCATTCCCTCTTATCATCGCGTTACAGAACGAACTGTAATAAATAACACTGTCTTTGAATTGTCTGGCACTCGATAAAAGATCAAAGCAATTCAACGCCGCGTGAGACAAATACCTCGGGATGTTTATTGTATAATACCACATCCAGATAATGATCTTTTAACGCTTTACGATGACAAAAATTACTCTAGACCGTCCAATACTTCAGCTAACAGATGGTACGTAAGGGACCACAAAGAATACACATTTGATAGTTGTTGCTCGACTACATCTTTCAGGATCTATTAAATCTTGAGATAAAGTTACGTCATTGCATCAAACAATGCGAGATTACGTAAAGCCAATATATACTGCTCAAAACAAATAAAAGACCACCCACAATTGGAAGGATGCATGTTGCAATACCTACCAGCCTTGACAAATTAACGATAGTCATATGAAGCAATAGGGTGTTCTTTAACGTCTTGTGAGTAGCATATAGTTATGTGCAGTAGTTAGTGATATGCTAGTCCTGCGCCATGAATGAGGAATTAACATATATAGATACTAAAACCTTGGCAAGTCTAGATCAAACGGCAGAAGAGGAAAAGTTCTTTTGAAGAACAAACTTACACTTATTTTAAAGAAATGTTTTCAAAGACTTATTGTTAGTCCGGCACCATGACCGTGGGATATATTTATTTTATGAAAAACAAAACCCATACAAAAGCAAGTCTAGCCAGCTCAAGCTAGCTCTAGCATAGGGATTTGTTTGGTACAAATTACTATGTTAAAGCTTATATATATGAACGTAACAAGAAATTATAATATTTCATGTATCAATTACATGCATGAATCATGTCTATATTTGTCTTGTAAGTTTAAAGAAGTATTTGGCTTTTCTTGTCAAATAAAATGCTTATCTTATCAAGCGAATTGCTATTTACTTAATGGCGCAGCCTCGAGTATATGTATACTTTGTCATCTCATGCAATAAACATCATGTGATTGTTTATCATTTAGTTTTTAATGCATACTGAAAGAAGTTCCCGCAGTTTTATCACTCGGGCGAGATATCGTTTTTATGCTTTCAGATAACATCAGTATTCGCTGCTAATTGCATAAGGTATTAGCATTTATATTTCCAGCCACATTGGGTCAACGCGATACTGTATTGATTGATTGTTCATGACGTTGTCTATCTTCCAGTGAGTGTTAACATTGCGTTTTTACAGTAAATATATATATGACTGTAGATGCTATTTACAGTTGTTAAAGCAAATACTTTTCACACAATGCTCACCCATTTGCTTATGGAGCGGTCGGGTAGACTTGTGGTTAAAGCGTTCGCTCGTCACGCCGAAGACCCGGGTTCGATTCCCCACATGGGTACAATGTGTGAAGCCTATGTCTTGTATCCCCCGTCCTGACATTACTGGAGTACTGCTAAAGGCGGCGTAAATTCCAATTCACTCACTCCATTTGCTGATGAAGTATTTAATGGGGACTTTAACACTGGAAGAACATGGAAACAAGATTGCATGGATATTGTTGCATACCGTACGTGATATAAACGACTCCAGATAAGTTAGCATCTATTGATGCATGTTTCCGATGCGGTTATATTCCTTTTTTCTAAACAGTACACGCATCACGTTTTTCCGTCACTAGAGAACGATATAATGAAACAAAGTAGACACAATTTATGGATAACAACATATTTAAGCAAGGTCTGAGGGTCTATACCGAAACGTCGCCTTTACAGTATTAAAGAAGTTGTTATCCATAAATTGTGTCCACTTTGTCATCCGCCAACTACTAAGTAATGCCTATCAAACAGATATAATATAAAACAGAACGATTTAAGATTTAGGTCTGTTTTGTAGGCATGGTAACCAAGTTGTCTAGGTCGATGAAGTATGCTGCACAGAGTGTCCTTCTAGGGCGTGCCTGAAACCTAATGTCGTGAGTTCGATTACCAGATTCGCTCCAAATATGATTCCCGGTTGATCAGCACCAGACCTGTGCGCTCGGGAATCATCGTATTGTAAATTGTTTAAAACCTACGTCACTTCCCGCTTTCTTCTCATAAATCGTCACGCCGTGATATAACTGATATACTGTTCATATTGGCGTTAACCAGACCCACTTACTAAACCGTTAGATGTTTCCTCCCATCCTGTAAGACAGTTTCCCGCTCAACAAGAACTGTTTCATTTTGTCCTTCTGTACCTATGCTGGATCACACCCGTGAAGATCCGCCGTAGAATAGGTCTTCAGCAACCCATGCTTGCCGTGAAGATCCGCCGTAGAATAGGTCTTCAGCAACCCATGCTTGCCGAAAAAGGCGACTTCGCTTGTCGTAAGATGCGACAAATGGGATCGGGTGGTCATGCTCGCTGACATGGTTGAAGCATATCATCATATCCTAATTGCGTGGATCGATGCTCAATCACTTTATTGTCTGGTCCAGACTCGATTATTTACAGAACGCCGTCACATTGCTGCAGTATTGCTGAGTGCGGCGTTAAACAACAAACAAACTATGCTGGATCATGTGGTCATGCTCTGTGACTTGACTGATTGCGAGTCATCGTGCTTCGATGGCATGGGGGCGGTCGTGTAGCCTAGTGGTTAAAGCGTTCGCTCGTCACGCCGAAGACCCGGGTTCGATTCCCCACATGGTTACAATGTGTGAAGCCTATGTCTGGTGTCCCCCGCCGTGATATTGCCGGAATATTGCTTAAGCGGTGTAAAACCATACTCACTCACTCACCGATGGCATCGATCGTTGCTCTTGTTGGTAACGGGTTTGCCAAATCCATACCCGTGCAATTACAAGCCACCTTGATATAGGTAGAGTATTTTTGAATACCAATTGTCTACATACCAGCTGTGACAGCGTACATAAATAAGTATGGTTTTAGGGACAAAACTACCATACTTTTGTATAGACACAAAAAGTAGAAATTACACCAACTTGTAAATCAATAAGTTTATGGGCAACTGGTTATAATTATGGTTTATCAATGACAGTGGAGACATGTGTCACGTGTTTTTGATGTGTTTTCGATATTGATCTGAAATGTACTGCCGCGTTCCGGCAGCTTTAGGTTATTAAAGGATGACTTTGATGTCTATTAAGTCAATTAGTTTTGAAATATGAGTCTGTATTATTAAGTTCACATTTTTGGATTTAACCCCTTCTCATTCGTTTAAGCTTGATTGATGGGATTTAAGAAAATGTTTAACAAGAATAAAATATATACTCCAGATCAAAGTTCACTGGAAGTTCAAGGAATGAGGTGTTAATATATTTTTTTTAATTACTTAAATCACGGACCTACATAACCTATATAAATAGGTTATGTAAGTCCCTGCTTAAATTGGGAATTTAACGTGCGCTTTCCGACATATGCATATTTTGCGCACGGGCCCGCCAGGCCATTCGGTGATTGGTCGAAAAGGGGATATCAGAAAAGGTGAGGCAACAGAGGGGGGCTTTTAGGATTGCTTACTTAATTTGGAGAGCAAATTTGGAATTTTGAAACATACAATAACTTGCGAATGGCCAGAGTTTTATGGTAGCGGGATGAGAAGGGATGTATTATTTTGTTGCCTCCCACAAAACTCAAAAAGAATATTTTCCTATTACATAATCTGATTTATAACAATTGGGCTATAACAATCCTTTCAGGGACGGTTAATTACGGACGAGGGCTACCATTACCCTGGCATCAATGATGTCATAAAAGACCTGCACGTAAGCATCATTTACCATCTGTCGTTAAATTCAAAGAAGGACCGCCAATAGCGATGAATACAAGACAAAAAGCTAATCCCGGGCAGCCCCTCCACCCCTAACGTGACATTTTGTGTAAATTAGTCGTAATTGAATTTCCCCCTTAATCCACGGTTGGACTCCTCTGTCCCGACCAATGTCCCCTGGGGTCAGATGGTCGGTCAGTTGTGACACATGATGATAATGTCCAGGTAAGGTGTACATCCTGTTATTAATTCGTTCGACGCATGAATAGCCACTTGTATCAGCAAAAATAGAACTCAGGTGAAAGATGGCCCTTGTTAATGTAATCAGGGACATGGCGTCTCGGAGGTCTATAGTTCAAAGTGTGGCGGGTGCTATTATTGGAACAATACCTCCTTTTTAATCTCTGAATTAGCAAAGTAATGAAGTTTTTATTGCCCTTACTTCTTTTGTTGAAATAATCATCTCCAGATAAGATGAACATTAAATGTATTGCTGCATATTCGTGAAAGCGAGACGAACATTTACCTCCTAAAATGTAAATATTTAATATTGTTTAGATGAAATTTTTTTTTAATACATGATAGTAAGGATCTTAAAGAATTGCGTCAGTTTGTAGGCTTGACAGGGTGTTTCAGACTTGCTTGGTAGTTTTCGAATAGTTTGTTTAAGGGTCTGTATAAGAGATAACTTTAAAATGAAATTACCTCACTACATTTGAAACCATGTATTTCTGGTTCAACCAAGTAAAAAGCAACAAAAATCGTTTCCATTGTCATAAGAAATCTCTAATAAGTTCATTGTACGATTCCGGCTATATCATATTCATGTATGTATGCATCACTATGAAATAACAGACACCAAGTGTTCGTGTTTTTTAAAATTTTATTATTATTATTATTATTATTATTATTATTATTATTATTATTATTACATAAAGGTATATTGCCTATGTGGTTTTAGACATGTCTTCAAAATCGTATTGATGTAAGATTATTGTTAAACGAAAGAAAACAAAAGCGCCAGTGTCTGGGGGGTTATTTCAAGGCACATCTATAAACAGTGTACATCATAAGATGATAGATGATCCGATAATAGCTCGCACCCCAGCCGAGTAAATATCTTGGGGGTATTGTTTATCTCCTCCCACTGACAAGCGACGCCCTGGGGCGAGACGGTGCTCCGTGTCAATTCGGTAATCGCTTGACACATTGGCTCTCCTCGCGTTATAATTAACGGCGTCGCGTTTCTCATTATATCAACTCACGTCTGATTGGTTGTTTAGGATAAGTGTCGTGTGATGTGATTGGCCCATGTAAAGAGTCACGCTACTGACAGGCCTATATGTCCTTGGTGAAACGATCTGAGGCATTATTCCCATGTGTCACCTTCACTATGTTGGACGTACCTACTCATCTCCTCCAAACTCTAAGTATCAACACCAACATCACCTACGATCTGGATATGTCCAAGTTCCCAGGTCTGGATGACCCACAACATATGTACCAGCCTGCTCTGTTGATAGCCACTGACTGGAGCGACTACGTCTACCATGACGCACCGTGTGTCACACATGACGCAAACAGTGTTTCAAGTTCCCATGAATCGGACGGTGTCTTAGAAAGCGATTTATACTCTCTTATAGGTATGTATACATTGTCACCAGAATCTGAACGTAAAAGTAACGGATATTGAAAGGATCTTTACGTTTTTTACATTATTCATTTTTCATGTGCTTATGCATATAATTTTGAAAATGATCCTATAGTGAACAAATTTACTTATGAACTGCTCTTTTTTTCTTACAGAATCAACTGATGCCTTGCTGACAGACCAAGGTTTCGCTGTCGACGACATTACTATGCAGACACTCCTCGATGACGTCCTTGCAGATTCAGTGATACCAAGTGACATATTTGGATTAATTGACTTGGATACTGACAGTCAAAGTTCCTTGTCAACAAGTGATTCTCCACAAACAGACCATACAACCCCCAACATTGGATTAACCTGTTCCCCGGACATGGAAGAATTACTCCCTGTTAGAACTTGCGGTAGAGGTCAAAAGCGACGTCTCTCCGATGACGCCTGTTACCCGGATGTTGAAAAAAGATCAAAGATGATGGAGTCATTCACGCAAGCGTTACCTTATTTGGTAGTGAATTTGTGCCACGAATCCAAGAATGGTGGAATTGGCAGAGAGTCATAGACTTACAATCACAAGTGACAAACCAGTTCCATTATCATAAGATCAATGCTGAGTCCCTGATGCTGTACCGACTATCAGTATATCATAAGCATGTGTTAATGAATCACTATCAAATAGTGCTGTGAAATGCGAACACCCAGTATTGTATTGCACGCGGAACAGTCAGTATAGTATTAATGCGAACAATGACTATTAGTACATCATTAGCATGTGTTTATGAATCACTATCAAATAGTGACGTGAAATGCGAACACCCAGTGTTGTATTGCATGCGGACAAGGATGAATGAAGCATTCAGATAGATGAAGCCATGTAGCTTCTTGTGCAATACCCAAAAGGGATTTTTTAGAGATGTTATTTACATAATACGAGGACTTATGGTGCCATACATATTGTTACATATTTACATTTGTTGATTTGATTTATTGTTTTCAAATAAACCCTATTTCTTAAAAATATGTTGTGTTTTTCTCACAGTTGTTATGCGTGTTCCAACGAGAAAGGTGCAGGAAAGTAAACATTTTAAAACACTGGCCTTAAAAGCGGTGCCCCTATTGATAGTTTCCATACATTTAAAAAACTTGCTACAGCTCGTTTCGAAAATGGATGTCTGTTAGTGGCCCAAGGGCATTCAATGTCTGAGTTTCGTTTAACGCCGCTTTTAACAGTATTCCAGTTATATCACGGCGTGTCAGCTTAATGTGGGAGGAAAGCCCGAAGTGATGCAGGTCTCAGGAGTTTACCACTTCGGTGAAACCCACGAGCATGGGTATAGTGCTGACAAACCTAGAAACATAATCGGGGCGAACCGGGATTCGAACCCACAATCATAGGTTTCTGGCGTGCCCAAGGGACGCAACTCTGCACAGCGAATCGCGGCGCCTTAGACGACTGGGCCACCTGTGCCCCCTTCACTGTCTGAAGTACACGTTTCTTTATGCGTTCCATCATAACATAGAAACTAACAACTGAGATTATTTGAAATTTATACTGGTGGGTTTTATGTTTAACGCCTCACTCGGATACGTGACGGCGGTCTGTAAATAATCGAGTCTGGACCTGACAATCCAGGAATTCACATTAGGAACATCGATGTACACATATGGGATACGAAAACATGCAGCTTTAACCAAGTCAGCGAGCTTCACCGCCCGACTCTGTTACTCGCCTCTTTACGACAAGCATTAGTGACTGAAGACCTATTCTACCCCGGATGAGTGGACGGGGCGTATCAGTCAGTATTTCTAATTGATAGACATTACGTAACCCAAGGGATTAAAACCGTCGAATCCCCGAAAAGAACAGTGACACCTTTAGTTCTACACAGCATGTGCTACATGCTTCCATACACACATGATATATAAAAGCGACAGAACCCTTTCCATATTCATAAGTTTTTTGTTTGTTTTTTTAACGCCGCACTCAGCAATATTCCAGCTATGTGGCGGCGGTCCGTAAATAATCGAGTCTCGACCAGACAAATCAGTGATTGATATCGTGAGCATCGATCCACGGAATTGGGATACGATTACATGCATCAACCAAGTTAGCGAGCCTGTCCACCCGATCCCGTTAGTCGCCTCTTACGACAAGCATAGTCGCCTTTACATATGGTAGTCAAAATAGGGAATTGCATCGGACATATATTTATCACTGATGCGTCAAATTTAAAAATGCTTTCCACATATCTACCATAGAACCTTGAATGTTGTAACCATTCTTGAGAGTAGTATGACGCTCTTTGAAATCTTGGTAGAAAGAGCATGCTCGATTGTACCTCAAAAAATGTGAAATGGTAGGCACCAAGGGATGGAGCTGCAGTAATATTGCTCCACATAAAGGGAAAGTTGACCATTGGAAAGTTGAAGTCATCCCTCTTGTGGAGAGGTTTTTGTCCCTCTGAATCTTTATGCATACATGTAGATCTAAATATGAATCAGATGAGTCGGTCTCACTATTGCAAACCAGTTTACCAAACATCTTTTAGCGCTGTCGCATGCCAGAAACTAGTCCTGCACCATGACCGTGGAATATATTTATTTTATGAAAAAAAATAATCTAGAAATGCATACAAAAGCAAGTCTAGGCAGCTCAAGCTAGCTCTATTCCTGAAATCAGCATAGGGATTTTTTTGATTTTTTTAGAGTCAAGAAGGATATTGTGTAATATAAGATTTCAGAGACTAAATGTTAGTCTAGCCAGAAACCTATAATTGTGGTTATTGTTATGCCTCTAGGTTTGCCAGCACCATATCTGCGATCAAAACTGGCAAACGCCTAAGACTTCCATCACTTAGGTTTTTCTCTCAGATCACGCTGACACGCCGTGATACAACTGGAATACTGTTCATAGGGGCTTTTAACCAAACTCATACTGCAGTATCGCTCGTCAACATGATGCGCGAAGCTATCCCATTCTGTGGCGCTTTCACACCTCCTTTCTCGCTAGCACTTTCTTTTGACTGAAATTGTGTCAATGGCGGTGACTCCAGTTGAGCAGAACAAGCTTACAGCTTTCTCGAACACCTGGCGTCTTCGTTGATTTTCTGCAATCCATTCATATAATTGGCACCACTAAATTATCTCTTATCTAAATTATCCTGGCTCAATTAACTTGACTGATTGCTTTGTAACACATAGATATGCCTATATGTGCTACTAAATATGTCAAAAAGATGCAAGGAGATGATATGTCAAATAACATTTGAAACATGTTGTTGTAGTTGAAGGAATCCTATGCAGTAAGTGTGTCAATGAGTCGTACGCCGTTTCGAAATTTCGAAACCATAATCTTATTATACAGAAAAAAGTAGATAAGTATCACATACTGCTAAATACGGTAAAACGGTTTGATGCCTTAAACTTCATGCAATATACAGGTGTTAAATTCTTTGGGTGTGTGTGTGTGTGTGTGTGTGAGAGAGAGAGAGAGAGAGAGAGAGAGAGAGAGAGAGAGAGAGAGAGAGAGAGAGAGAGAGAGAGAGAGAGAGAGATACAACACACTGATATATGTCCCATAGTTTCTTACAGATCATAAGCTTACATCTTATCAAACACCCCAAACCATTCTCGTCCCTACTCTCTAATCCCGAAAACCGTAGATCAAGTAGATGGTACTTGTTGTTGCCCTGCCTGGTTCTCGACAAGGGGTACAAAGCAACCTCATATCACGTGTACAGCTCTGAAATGAGAGACTTGAGACCTTAGAGAGAGAGAGAGTTGGTGTTTTCAGGTGCGCTTTCCGACTTTAGGCGTTTTTCGCACACGGGGCGCCAGGCCAATTAGTGGTTTTGCCGAGGAGAGTATGTATCCTGGGGGATTTAAGGGTTGCTTATTTAATTTTGGGGAAATTTGGAATTTTGAAGAGATATAGGTGCTATAGGTGGGGAAACTAATGTAGTTTGTGTGGTTGTGTTTATTTATTTATTTTAAATTATAGTTGTAGGGTTTTTCAAGGGTTTTAGCATGGTGGTAGCCTGTTTTAATTAGGAAAATGCCTAATGCTTTCAAGTTTTATAGGTCGTTTAAAGGGTTTAGAAGCATTACATGACACATTGGGTTGTTACAATTTATTGTGGTTTTGAGGGTTGTTCTGTGTTGTTGTTAGTGTGTGAAGTGTAATAGTGCGTGTTCAGGTGTTTATTTTTGTAGGTGTTTTAAATATTTTTTATATTTCCTTTAGGGGTTTTAGCATAGTATGGAATGATTTTTTGTAAGATGTGGCTTAGTAGGCCTGTTTTAATCAGAAAAAATGCCTAATGCCTTAAAGTTTTGTAGGTCGTTTTGTGGCTTTAGAAGTGTTGCCAGAGACATTTGATAGAGTTTATTGTGGATTTGATGGTTGTTCTGTGTTGTTCTGGGTGTGCAGTGTAACCGCGGAGTTCCATATATACGCTCTCTCGTTTATCAGTTCAGTTCAGTTTATTATTCTCCAAACCACCGTCGGTGGTACAAAAGAGTACAAAAGTACAAGCATGTAAACAAAGTATTAATATGTGACAAGATGACAGTATGTCATGCATGAATATGTTATATCTTTTCTGTTTTGTGTTTTCTTACTGCTTTAAATATTTCATCAATATATCTCGATAGGTTTTTAAGATACCTCGTGTTTTGACTGGATAATAACCTCTTGAATGTATATAAATTAGACCAATTATCTTGGTAAGCAGTTGGTAAGTATACACTTCTATGTTTTGACAGAGGCTGGCATCTAAACAGATAATGGAATTCGTCTGCAACTGAAGGAGAGTTGCACAGTTCACATACACGATCCTCTTTCTTTACATTATTCCAACGGCCGGTTTCAATAGGTAAATTATGGTTACATGTTCTAAATTTTAAGATTGGAATATACATATTTTTATCGATGTAGTGGTTCTTTGATCTGTTGACTCCTAGACAAGAACCCCTGGGGTCTACTGCAAGACGGTACCGTGAAGATGCGGCATATTGACACGGATTACGTGTCATTTTACTGCGAAGGTCAACTGTAATTAAGTCTTCCAATGGATAAAACTGAACAGATAATCTAAACCTGAATAGATAATCTATTGTTACAACAACAATAATATTTTTTTTTTAAGAGTAATTTACGCTCACCTATCTCACGCATCGCTCAACGAAACAATGCGATGCTAGACTAATGCTGTCATTCATGACATGAGGGTACAACATGGCGGTCATCAATAAACGAATTGTGGGTCTGTTGTATTAATCAAAGTACATAAACATCAGGGGAGAAGCAGATTAGGGAACAGAGGTGCTGACATTATCTTTAGGCGTTGTAATACATGACGTAAGAGCGGCCATTGCCATTCAGGCGTAATATATAATGGGCATCCCATTCATGATGTTTACAAATCTGCCATGTCAAAGTGTTGTGCTTGTGTGCTTTGATCACAGAAGCTTCAACTTTAAGACTCGATTTGAGCTGAATGTCTTTGATCAGTGAAACCGCTTAATGCGACATTGATAAGATGTACACAAGGCTATTTGCATTTTATCACACAAACTGAACCCAGTTTACAAACATATTAGTATGATGAAAGAGGTTGAACTTCCGTTATGAGGATAAATCAAAGAAGCTGTCTTTGTAAACACAGCAAAACAAAATAGCTTTCATTGCTAGCTTATGTTTCGAGGCATTTAGATTGTTAAATCTTTTTAAATTAGTTCATGTTGGCGAATGTCAGTTTTATGCATTGTATGTTTAATTTGTTTACAACTGACATGTATATTTTACCAGCTATTTTAAAATGTATTCCTGGAGCGGCGTTTACGTAATCATTCTTGCTTGTTTACTTATCCAAATATAAGGTAAGCGAAATAAATTTGTTTAAATCAGATATGTTGGCTTATATAGTCAATTTATCTTG